CCCCAAAACCCCAAAACCCCAAAACCCCGTGATGAATATGAATTTTTGAATTTTAAATTATTTAAGAAAATGGGAGCAGTTTGTACACAAGATGAAAATGCCTGTTGAAGTACATGAAATTGATTGCAAGGTAAATTTATTGCGCTTTTATCAACCTTATTTAGGCAACAATAACCACCTAGACCCTGTTCTCAAAAATTCTCAGCACAAAAATGAGTAAATTTTCTTTGTTACTTATAAAGAATTTCTCAAGACAGTAAAGTCAAATAAACAGTCCCTCCAAGAATTACAAAAGATAGACCTTGACAGTAAAGAGACTGTCAAATATTATTGCCAAGATAGCCAAGAATTTAAGCTTTCCTCTCCCCAATTTATCAAAATCATAAACGAGAAGGAGAATATCAACACTTGAAATAAGACAAAAGAATCTGAGTAATTTGATTATTTTACAATTTAGTCGCTGAACTATGAACAAGAGTGAAGGACCTTCAAGTAAATCATATCTTAACAAAATAGCTGCTTTCATGCCTCAAAAAGGATCCTTGTGATCAAAGAAGGTGACAACTCCAGCTTCAAGTAGAGAAGCAAGTCCAGACCAAGAATGCAACCAGCCTTGTTTTCGCCAAGAACTACCCTCACAGTTCAATGGGAATAGAAAAGAGTGTCTTAACTTGGAAATAAGCTCTCTTGTTGATAATAAGTAAGTATAAGCTTTCATTAATAGGTCTGATCACCAAGAATCTCAAGAACCTGAAGAGAATCGATTCACTGGTCAATTTAATCTTTGTATTGAAAATGAATTGCAACGAGAGGACCACAAAGAAACCCTCAAAGAGAAGCCAACTTCAAATGAAGAGAGCAAAGTACTTGAAAACTCAATGATTGTCAAAGAATCCGGCATCCAGGAATGCGATATAGACCCCGATTTGATACAAAGCTTAAGGAATTCTCTTGATAAACAGCATCAGGAGGAAAGTGATGAATTTAACAAACTACAGTATCTTGACTCTTCCAATATATCTGACAGTAAGCATGCATGAATAATTGTAGTAATTACTCCTTCGATAAACAAGAGCCAGTCTGAAATCCAAAAGAGTAATTTTACTGGTCATAATCTAGAACTCTTATTTTCTACTCAAAGGAATTCAGTGAACTTAAATGAAAGCAAAGTCAACGACAAATCATTTGAATCTAAGCTACAAAAGATAGAAGTAAATGAGAGCCATGCTTATTTCAACAACCCTAATAGTTTCCTTGAAGATGGTATTTTTGAGATAATTTCTGCAGCCAAAACAGAGAAGCAACCAAAAAGTGTGAAAGTTAGCCAAAGTCAAGCAATTAACCTCAGACTAAGTGATTTTAATATTCAAAAGGAGAAAGAGCCAATAAACATAAATATTTTACTCCTACAAACAGAGAGATGGTTCACAGGGTTCGGAATGACTCTCAGTCAATTATGAAATCCACATGAGAAGATCTTAATTGAAGGAGAGCTGTATAAGTACAAACCAGGGATAGATAAGATGTATATAGCTCGATGGTGCCAACTTACAAAAACTTCATTCAGAGTGTATAAAAACCAAGTATCTGCAAAAGGATTTGGCTCAAAACCAATTCTAGCTCTTCCTCTTGAAATTTTCAAAGGGGTGAAATAAGGCTAAATTTCATATTCCAAATAAAGGGAAGGATAAGAAAAGTACGAAAATTAGTAGCAAAAATCAATTCGAAATCCTTTACAGAGATGATATCCTTGATGCAATCATGAAGAACTTTCTTCACTCTAAAATCAATGAAAGACAAGATGAAGGAAATGTTGTTGAGCTAGAGAGTGATGATCAATTTGAGGAGAAGATCAGCATCCTTAAAGACAAAATAACGTCTAACAAAGTGTTTAAAGTCCATGCATCCATGGAAAGTCTGAACATTCCCTCAACATGGAGCAACAGAGAGGGTGAATGGTTCTGTGCAGAGAAAAGACTCATGTTTACCACCCAGAAAAGTAGCGATAGAGAAAAATGGTTAAAAATCCTCAGAAAATGCATATAAAATATTCAATAAAATCTTAGAAATTAGGGGTTTTGGGGTTTTGGGGTTTTGGGG